AATAGTGGTGGAAAAATAAATTTGTGCAAACTTTCTGAAGGGCAATTTGTAAATGTGTATGCAAAACCTTAAGAATATTCACATTCTTTCTGACTCAGGAATTCCTATAGAAATTTACTCTAAGAACATACTGAAATATGTGCAAAAAGACTTGCAAAGAATATTCACTGAAGTACTATAATGCTGAAATGGTGAAAATTTGAAAGAGACATTAAATATAGAATAATGGGGGAACTGGTTAAATAGATTATGTACAAACAGCCACGTTTATGTTTTAGGTCATGGTTTTTAGAAGACTATTTGATGGTGTGGGAAAGTACCTACATGCATTACATGAAGTAAGCAGATACATAACACTATATAAAATTTTATTTTAATTTTGCTAAAGAAAACCCCCAAACAACCTATAACATATGTACCCTCAAAGACTTGAAGGCTATATACCAAAACATCACCAGTGTTTATCTTTAAGAAGTAAAAGTACAAGTAATTTTTACTTTCCTTTTTATTCTTTTATATATCCTACAGAATTGTCTATGATAAAATGGCATTATTTTTATAATCAGAGGACAACAACAAATGTACTAAAGTATTTGGCAAAATTTCTGCCAGGACTCAATGTAGCTGTGACCGTCCCCAGCGGGTCACCCCCCGAGTGCCAATGCCACATGCACTTCTGTCCTGAGGATTCCACACGTACATGCTCACACGCTCCCGCCAGCAGTACGAACACACTCAGTATCAGGCCTTCACCTCTAACCCCACGCTCATACCCGTGGGTTTGCATTGTCACCTAGTGTGCCCTCACCCCCAGCATCCCCTCCCAGGGCTGTCTTTCATAAATGAGTTTGCAATGCAAAATTTTGGAATTTGGAATATATCTGTGCACAGTGATAATGTCACATATGGTGGTTAGCTCCCTAGGTCCCCTACTAAGTTCAGCCTTGCTCCCCTCCCCTTATCCCCAGTCCCCCTCAATGTGGCCGAACTGAAGCTCTCATCACACCAGGAGACCTTGTGTGACACCGTCCAAAGGGAATCTCTCCAGGAGAGAGGGGCTTCCTATATGCTCAGGACACCAAGAGGGTGGGGAGAGGGTCCCCGTATCTCCGGGAGCAGGGGGAGGGCCTGGGGACCAGGAGCTCTGTTCTGGGGCTTGGGAGAGGAGTCTGCAGCCACCCCACTAGGGCCTCCTGAAGCCCGAGTTAGTGAGGAGGCTAAGGTCGCCGACACCAATCCTTGTGAAAGACTCCATCATCCGAGGAGGAAACAAGCGCAAAAACCCAAGCTAGACAATGCCTACTCTCGCCCATCAGTGAAGGAAATGCAACTTGCCCAGTAGCTAAGGCTATACAGGCTGCTGCTTATTAATTTATCAGACTAATTGCCGGGCTGCTCCTTATTAATTCATCAGACGTGTATTAGGTGACCACAATGTTCCAGGCTCATGCTTGGCAGCTGGGGACCTAAAGATGAAAAGATGCTGCCCCTGTCCTCACGGGGCCTAGAGGCCAGCGCGGAGCCAGACACATGAACAGGAATTGCTTTCGTGCACTCAGTGTATGACAGAGGAGGGAAGGAAAGGTGTGTAAGTGTGGAAAGGCACAGTGAGTGTCCAGCATGGTGAAAAGCTCAGTGTTGCAAGAGCCTAGAATGCTAGTGTTTGGGGGTGAACGAGGGGGAGAGGGGAAAGTGGGCAGAAGATATGGCTGAAGACGTTGACTGGAAAATACACCACGTGTCTGTGCAGAGGTGGAGTAACTGGAACTCTTCTGCCTCGTGAGCAAGGGTGCGACTGGCACAGGTACCCAGCAATGGCAGGGTGTTCTCAGCGAACATCTGCAGACCCGGCACCCTAGCAGTTCCTCTCCTCGGTGTACACCCAACAGAAATGCATGTGCACAAACGCAAGAGACATGTACAAGAACGTGCACAGCGGCACTGTTTAAATAGCTCCAGACTGAAAGCTAGCCCAAAGCCTTCAATCAATGGATATCAATGGATAGCACAATAGATAAGTCATTGTACTACGTGCACAGGATCAACAACTGAGAATGCATGAAGAAAATGTGGGTGAAATTCACAAGTTCAAAATAATGCTGAGTAGAATAAGCTGGACAAGTGGTATGACTTCACGTATACAAAGTATGAAAAGAGGCGGCCCTATTTGCTATTGAAGTGAGGATGGTGGTTAACCTGGTGGAGGGGTGGGTATGGAATGGCAGGGTGCAAGGGGGTCTTCTGGGATATCATAATGTCCTGTTCCACGCTCCGAGTGCTGCTGCCTGGGCGGGCTGTGTAAATTCACGGAGCGGCACCGTTACGATGCGTGCACTTAGCCGCGCGTGAAGATAGAGAGGAGGGAGGGGGTCAGTGGGCTTTCTGCTCTGGTGACAGAACTCTGGTCTCAGTGGCTAGGCCACCTACCACTCAGAGGGTAATTCAGAGAGACCGCAGGAGAGCAGAGAGTACAGGAGGAGATGATGGCACAATTATTGAGCAATTTCAGGGCGGCTTTCTTGGTGGCCAAGAGCTCTCTGCAGATGCTCGGGCTGGTGGCCAGTTGTTGACTGGGGGGTAAGTCTGCCCCCTGCTCCTGCTCTTTGCTTCTCTGCCCTGCTGACATCTCCCTGACAGTACCACTTTTTATGTGCTCCACTCGGGCCCCCACCCCACTAGACTGGAAGCCCTTTGTACAGGGACAGTGTACAGTAGTCACTCAGCAGGATGCTCTGGCTGAGTGGCTGGGGATAATGAAAGAGACATACGGGTGCATGTGGGACGTGGGTGCCTGTGGGACGTGGGTGCCTGTGGGACGTGGGTGCAGGTGGGACGTGGGTGCCTGTGGGACGTGGGTGCAGGTGGGACGTGGGTGCATGTGGGACGTGGGTGCATGTGGGATGTGGGTGCCTGTGGGATGTGGGTGCCTGTGGGATGTGGGTGCAGGTGGGACGTGGGTGTATGTGGGACGTGGGTGCATGTGGGACGTGGGTGCCTGTGGGACGTGGGTGTATGTGGGACGTGGGTGCATGTGGGACGTGGGTGCAGGTGGGATATGGGTGTGTATGTGGGACATGGGTGCCTCCTTTCTTCCCGCTCTGTGGGCCCCCTCTGAGCACTCAGTGGAGAGGCTGGGGCTAGTCCCCTGTGCTGGGTCCCGCCCTGCCCCCTCTGCTCCCAGGGTCTGGGTGGATGTTGCAGTCTCTCAGTCCTCTCCCCTCGCCAGGGCCCAGACCCAGGCCCACAGAGGGATGATGTCCCCATCTCTCCTCCCCCCTTCAGCTGGCTCCATGCTGAGGCGCTCACTCAGGGCAGAGCCCCAGGGCCAGACCGACATGCTGAAAGACGATTTATTCCCAGAGACCACCGACCAGGCAGTCCCCAGACACCAGCCCTGGGGCCTGCTGGGAGCCTCCTCTGCCAGCCGGACCCAAAGGCCGAGGCTAGCCTCCCTTTCACCCTGCCTGCCTGCTCATGACCCCTGACCCAAAGGATCCCCAAGGCCCGTGACAGTCTCGCAGCGTCTGCAACAGAGGCTGACCCAAGATGGACACCGGGTGGGGCTTCAGCCACTCTGGGGTGACCGGTCCCCATTTTTATCTATGAATCCAGATAGAAGCCGAGATACACGCAGCCTCAGGGTTTGGCCTGGAAGCCGGCTGATCTACAAGGTTTCTTTTCTCCTGTTCCCCTTGTCCTTTGGCCCTCAACTCACTTACCGGCTGGCCAGACCCCGGGCTGGAACAGAAGATGGTGTACTTGCGGATCACCCCGTTGGGCTTGGTGGGAGGGAGCCAAGACACGACCACACTGCTAGCTGAAGAAGGGACGGCTTTGATGCCAGCAGGGGGACCTGGAACTGAGCAGGGAGAAGGCCTGGTCAGTTTAGAGAAAGGAGGAGCACAGCCTTTGGGAAAGAATGAGAGTGGGGAGAGGGTGGCAGATCAGTCTGGGAGAGCTTCCTGGAGGCGGTGGCCTTAGCTGTGGCTTAAAGTGGGGAAGGTCCAGCATGACGAGCAGGTGGGAGGAGAAAGCCCAAATCATTTTGGGCTTACAACAAAGTCTCTAAAATGGAGGCCCTCAGCGTGGCCAGCTTCAGAGCTGTCTGGCCAGAACCAAGGACTTAGGGCGGGCAAGAGAGAAACAGAACTCATGAGGAATTCATCTTGATACTGTGATCTTATCCCTTGCCTCGCTGCCCCAGTGCCCTTGTTAACTAGAAGCCTGTATTTAGGGGGAAAAAACCACACTGGCGCTGGTCCCGTGAGTTCCTTAAGGCTGGGACCGCAGCCTGTTTCCTGGCAGGGGCCTAGGCCACTGCCCTCGGGGTGCCGGCTAGGCCCTTTCTGGAGGAAAGTCTGCCTTAGGGGTGACTAGGAAAACCATCCCATGTGGATCTCAACTCACGTGGACTCTGAGCTCACTCGCCCCATCTCTGGGCCTGCCCCGCTTGGCTGGGACTGCAGGGCTCTGTCTGGGAGACTAGAAGTTTCCTGTTCTCAGCTCGCACGCGCCCCATCCTCACCTCCCCAGTGTATGGCTGTGTACTCGTCTCCCCTCCTCAGGAGCTTTTCTGCTCCTTTGAGGATAGTGACAGTATCCTATTCAATTGATTTTACCTCTCTGAGCCTCGGTTTCCCCATCTAAACAATGGAGGTAATAACCACATTAAAAGGCTATAGTGAGAGTCAGTGCTAATTAAAATGAAGCACCTAGCACGGTTCCTACCACATAGAAGACACTCAATAAGTGGTAACAATTAATATTATCACATTCCCTCTCCCAACTCTCAGCTTGTGGCACCTACCTCAATTTTTTTTTTTCTAATGTGTGGTCAATAATTTGGAGCTAAATAAAATAACTAGATACAGTATCACATCCATCCAGGGGCATGAGCCCAGGAGCTGGGAATCATCCTTGACTTGTCCTGTCCCCCTCGCTGTTCCTCCTCTGCTAGGTGTCTCCAAAGCTGTAGGGTAACAGAGTCTATGGATGGCCACTGGGGCAAGTGTGCTAGTTGTAGTGTTGGAATCTCTTCTTGCATGCTTTTTTCTATTAGTTATTGAGAGAAGTGTGTTAAAATCCTCCACTGTGATTATGCATTTGTCTATTTCTCCTTTTAGTTCATCAGTTTTTGTTTTTGTACATTTCGAGGTTATGTTATTAGGTACATACAAATTTAAAATTGTTTTACTTGCCTAATACATTAGTCTTTTATCATAAGAAAGTGTCCTCCTTATTTCTAATGATGATTTTTGCCTAATGTATACTGTGTCTGATATTAATATTGTTTTCTATTAGACAGTTTGCATGGTTGCATGGTATGTTTTTTTATTTTTTTCCATTATTTCATGTTGAATCTTTATATAGCCTTATGTTTTCTTTTTAAAAAAATTTTTTGAGACAGAGTCTCACTCTGTTGCCCAGGCTAGAGTGCCATGGTGTCAGCCTAGCTCACAGCAACCTCAAACTCCTGGGCCCAAGTGATGCTCCTGCCTCAGCCTCCCAAGTAGCTGGGACTACAAGCATGTGCCACCACACCCGGCTAATTTTTTCTATATGTATTTTTTAGTTGGCCAATTAATTTCTTTCTATTTTTAGTAGAGATGGGGTCTCGCTCTTGCTCAGGCTGATTTTGAACTCCTGACCTTGAGTGATCTGCCTGCCTCAGCCTCCCAGAGTGCTAGGATTACAGGCGCGAGCCACCACACCTGGCCTACCTTATGTTTTAGATGACTCCTGTAAACAACAGATATTTTTTGGTTTTTGTAGCCTATCTGACAATCTTTATCTTTTAATTAGAGAATTTAATCAATTATCTTAATGTAATTACTGATGTATTTTTAAACTATTTATTTATTTAAATTTATTAATTACTTATTTACTTTTAGAGACAGGAGCTTTCTCTGTTGCAAGGCTGGAGTGCAGTGGTATTATCATAGCTCACCTATCTCC